TCTTGAGTGTGAGTTTTAGGTTCTAGTTATTTAGATAAGTGTGTCATATCTTATTTAAATACTAGACTCAACCCCAAGTTAAGATAAGAGTGTGTAATATCTCTTAACCCCAACTTGGTAATATCTATCCCTGATTTCCTCCACCCCATATCCCTCCATTTCTCATTCTGAAATCCCCCTCTTTTCTTCCCTTAACATATAAAACACCCTATCATTCCTTCCCATAACTTCCCTACATAGTCCAGCCATTTTCCTTCCATATTGAAACCTCGGGTAACCCTGATAATCGATTATCTTTCACTGATAATCGACTATCCAACACCCCTGATCTTCCTTGGCAGAATCTGAAATCCCAAATAATCGATTATCAACTATTGATAATCGACTATCCCACCCTTCTCAACCTTCTTGACTTAAAACTACACAATCCCACAATCGATTGTTGCTAAAGTGATAATCGACTATTTCCCTTCCCTGAACTCCCAAAATTCCTTCCCAAGAAACTGAACCTCTTGTTAGTCGATTATCATAAATTGATAATCGATTATTTCTTGCTCCTGCAGTTTAAGAAGCTTTGTCCCAAACTTAAAGCTTATTCCCGGAGTTCGGGCATAACAGGTTCGGTGGTAGCTGGGAGGTTCCCCTGTTCTCTAACTCCGAGTTGTTTGAACACTTGTTGGAGTTGGTTATCACGCTTCTTGTCGCGTTCCTTCAAATCATCTGCGAGATTGTTCATCTTCTGCATGTACTCCACCATCATCTTCTCCATTCTTGCCAAGGAATCTTCTTGGGGAGGTTGGCGATTATGATGTGGAACGTAGGGTGTATTGTTATTTTGGTAATTGGTTTTGTTGTTGTTCCAATTACCTTGTTTATAGTCATCCCTAAGACGATTGTTTCTAGAAAAGTTGTTTCTCTCCCGCCATTGCTCTTGATTGTTCTGGGCCCAAGGTCCTTCCCCTTTATTCGCATATTGTGCTAGATTAACGTCTTTAGCCTTACTCGGAGGGGGTGGTTCAATCAAGGGACAAGCAGAGGAAAGATGATTTTGAGAGCAGTGCTCACAAGACAAGACTAGATCGGACTGGTGGTGACTACCAGAACCATAGATTTCAGCTTGATTCACCGGTTCAGTATACAAGTTAGGACGTGGATGGGAAGCTCCTAGGTGTTCCTTGATAGTTTGTTTCACGATGCTCTCCATACTAGCCTTGAGGGCTGTGAATTGGTCTACTTCATACATGCCAGCTTTAGGAGGAGGAGCTCGGTCTTCATACCAATATTTAGCATTTGACGTTAGTCTATCTACTAACTCCTCATTCTCCTCAGGTGTCATCTCTAGAAAAGAACCAAGTTTAAAAGAGTGGTCCAATTCCTTCTTAGATGGTACCGTTAAGCCTTGGTAAAAGTAGAACATCAAACTATCGGAATCAATTAGAGCAGGTGGGCATTTAACCTTCAATTCCTTGAATCTTTCCCATGCTTCGCACATCGATTCCATAGGTGCTTGACGGAAGTTTTGGATGGAGTTTATTTTCACCATAGCAGATGGTGGAAAATATTCGTGCATGAATGCCTGGTGCAACGCCTCCCAGGTCTTGAAGTGGCCATCAGGGAATGTATTTAACCATCTAGCTGCCCGATACCGAAGGGAAAAGGGAAAGAGCGACAGTTTAACACGATCCATGGATAAGCCGTTGGACTGGAACATTTGGCAGGTCCTAGAAAACCACAGCATGTGCGCTCTTGGATCTTCAGCCTTTGAGCCTCCAAATTGGTTATTCGAGACCATTTGGATCATTGCTGGTTTGATTTCAAATGAATGGGCTTGACTAGCGGGGAGACCTATGGGATCTTCCTCTACGTACGCCGGGCTCATGGCTTGAAGGATCGTTCGTCTAGGATTAGCCGCCATTTCTTGTTCCTCTTCCTCCTCTAAGTGTTGATTCTCTTCCTCGCGATTTGCCTCTTCTTCTTCCTCTTCTCTTCGCTCTTCGTCGTTGAACTCCAGTTGACGAGGAATTCTAACGGTACGACGTCGAAGATTCTCTCAGAAAATTACCATCACCATTCCAATAATCACATCACCAATTAATTTAGCTACTCATAATAAAAACTTCCAACACACATGCATCATAAGAAGACATTTTTTAGTTGATAGTAAAAAGTTAACAAACTTACTTCAACAAATCTGAAGAACTGAGATCCGGGCTACAATTTGCTCCGAGAAAACTCCAAGGAATAATACTAATCTAAAATATGAAAGTGGCTTTGTAAATCTAGACTAAAAATGGAGAAATTCAGGTTTTTGGGAGAAGAGGGGCGCTGTGTAGCGTGTTAAATCGGAGAGGGGGAGTGCTGTATTTATAGGATCAGATGCGAAGCGTCCAACCCCCAGCCGTCTGGATCTAAAGCGTCCAAAGTTGGACGCCTTACGCGGCCCGTCCATTCGCTGCTTGCCACGTGTCATTCTTGACGCCCAATCATCGCCAAGCATCCAAGGGGAAGCGTCCAAGGTTGGACGCTTCGGGCCTTCTCCTGTGGGCTTTTTCCGCGGCTTGATCCTATTCGGGCCTAATTTTCAATTTTCACTTTGCTTCGCAGTCTGTTTCAGTTTCCTCCAAAGTTCTCATGATAAAGATCTCAGTTAAAAAATTTTCTTTCTTTCAAATATAAGTAGAAAAATCAACAATCAAGACGAGACAGATTTTAAACCAATTATTATTCCTTAAAGAACAAATCAAAGATATTGTTCAGTTTAACATAAAATTATGCACTGCTTATCACTATTTTCGTACAATAACGCTTAAAATATGTAGAATAAAATATGAACAAAATGAACTTATCAGAGAACTATGCCAAGATACAGTCATCCTCCACTACAGAAACTATTTATTCCACCAAAGTATGCTTACAACCATCACAGGTCACACTATGCACAACCTTGACAAACTATAGGTCTTACCAACCTAGGTTTGCTAGGAGGAAACATGAAATTGCACCACCTGCACGTAGGAAGTTTTATGCCTACAACTATAACTATAATCCCAACAAGTTTAGGGCTGCAAGGAAAATTCCCTGCAACTTCAAACTTGATGTGGGGACACACACCATTAACTATTCCGGACCCAAACTGAATTGGGTACCAAAATCTTCCTCCTCCTAATGCAGGAAGCCGCTAAGTACCCAGGTGTCTGGTACTTAGACAGTGGCTGTTCAAGACACATGACGGGTGATGCGAGCCTTTTGAGCAATCTAATTCCCTATGATGGTCTAGAAGTTACTTTTGGAGGAAGCAATGATTTTGGCCTTACAAAAGGGCTAGGAAATCTGGTGTACAAGGGACTAACCATCCAGGCTGTATCCTATGTGGAAGGTCTCAACTATAATCTTCTTAGCATAAGTCAGTTTTGTGATAAAAGTTATTCCCCGGAATTCTGCAAAGACATGGCATACCTCAAGAACATTTCCACAAATGAAGTCATTCTCACTGGGAAGAGAATCAGAAACATCTACGAAGTGATGTGGGATGATGTCAAGGAAGCATGCCTTATCAGCAAAGGTGACACTAACCTTCTATGGCTTTGGCATAAGAGGTTGAGTCATCTCAACTTCAAAGCCCTCAACAAGCTATCCAAAGAAGGGTTAATAGAAGGTCTTCCCAAAACTGTGTACAAGAAGGAAAGCATATGTGATGCTTGTCAGAAAGGAAACCAAGTCAAGTTCACTTTCAAGGCAAAACCGGCACACTCAACTACAAGGATACTAAGTCTCATTCACATGGACTTATTTGGACCTGTTACTCCAATAAGTCTAAGTGGAAAGAAATATGTCTTAGTAGTAGTTGATGACTACTCAAGAAGGAAACTCAAGGGAAGCTCACAAACTGCATGAAGTTGATTCAAAATCAAGCAAGTCAGACCATCCAGAAGATCAGATCTGACAAAGGCACAAAATTCTTGAATGAAATCATCATTCATTACTGTGAAGAAAATGGAATTCTTCATCAGACGTCCGCAGCAAGAACACCACAGCAGAATGGTGTAGCTGAAAGAAGAAACAGAACCTTGAAGGAAGCAGTGAGAACCATGCTAGCAGAAGCTTTCCTGCCTAAAAGGTTCTGGGCTGAAGCTGTAAACACAGCTTGCTATACTCAAAATAGGAGTATGATCTATAAAAGGCACAACAAAACTTCCTATGAACCGTGGAATGGGAGAAAGCCTAATATATCATATTTCCATATTTTTGGGAGCAAGTGCTTTGTGTTAAACAACGGGAAGAATCATCTGAACACTTCTGATGAGAAATCAGATGAAGCCATCTTCCTTGGATATTCTATGGTGAGCAAGGCGTTCAGAGTCAAAAGAACCATGATCACTGAAGAGTCAATACATGTTATTTTTGATGAAAAACATGTGGTTGACATGCCATCAAAGCATGATCATGAGGTTCTGGATCTCTCAGACAAAGATGAAGAAATCAATAAAGGAGATAGGATGAAGCCTACGGAGTTCATTCCATTCGGAAGTCTACCGATGAAGACTTCACAGAGAAATCCAGATTCAGACAGTGCTGAGCCTACCGGAAATCATGGCCAGGCTTCCAATATCCAGGATCACTCACATGGCGACAATTCCGGAAATGGCGATCAGGTGCCAATCCATCCAGAAACACCAACAAACTCTGTTCTTCCACCAGAAGCTGAACTATATCAGCCAGTCAACCCTAATCAACACAATCTTCGTTGGTTAAGGGATCATCCTCCTCAACAAGTTATTAGAGATATTCAATCAGGCGTTCGCACAAGGAGTGCTCAACAGAATCTAGAAGCCATGCTTGCATGTTTCATTTCACAAGTAGAACCAAAGAGCATTGAAGAAGCTCTAGCTGATTCTGATTAGATCAATGCAATGCAAAAAGAACTCAACCAATTCACCAGAAATGATGTCTGGAAACTTGTTCCCAGACCCACTCATCAACATGTCATTGGGACAAAGTGGGTCTTCCGGAACAAGATGGATGAAAACGGCATTGTTGTCAGAAACAAGGCCTGGTTAGTTGCCAAGGGCTATTGTCAAGAAGAATGTATAGATTTTGATGAAACCTTTTGCTCCAGTTGCTAGACTTGAAGCTATAAGGTTATTTCTAGCCTTTGCTGCTCATAAGGACTTCAACGTCTATCAAATGGATGTCAAAAGCGCTTTTCTCAATGGAAATTTAGAGGAAGAAGTTTATGTGGAACAACCTCCAGGATTTGAGTTACACACTAAAGGCGATCAAGTGTATAGACTCAAAAAGGCGCTATATGGACTTAAACAAGCACCAAGAGCTTGGTATGATACATTGTCTCAATTCCTAATAGACAATGTGTTAGACAAATGTGCAACTCTAGAGCGGGGGTGAATAGAGTTGTTTTCAAGAATGTGCGTTTTTCGCGTGTGTGAAATAATAGAATCGAAGGAATAAATAAAGAGAACAAGGGAAAAAAGAACACCGAGATTTATACTGGTTCACCAACTCGTGGCTAATCCAGTCCTCCGAAAGACTCTCTCGAAAGTCCTACTAATCTTCAAGCTTCAACGGGTGCTTGAAAAACCGGTACAACTTGAGAACTTGAATCACACAAACCTCACTTTCTTACAACAACAAGACTTGAGTCACACAAGTCTTAAGAACAACACTCAAAAGAGATTGAGTTTACAACACAAGAATGAAAGCTCACACAATTGAGCAAAGTAGTGTTGAAGAATTTAAGCTCTATGGATGACGACTTCTTTAGCACTCAAAGAAAATATTTCTAACTCTCAAAAATAATATTTTGATGAGGAAGATGAAGCAAAGGATGAATATAGCTCAAAGAATATATTGGAGTGCAAGAGGTGTGTATAGAAATGAAGGAGAATGAGGGATTAAATAGGCTGAGCAAAATAAAGCCGTTGAAGAAAGCTGATGATATGCACCAGACAGAATTAATCGATTAAATTAGGAATTTTAATCGATTAAAGTGTACAGAAGCGAAAAGGCTTGAAACCAAAAGTGGAATTAATCGATTAAAAAATAGGGAATAATCGATTATTCTGCTCTGTTTAAACTAATCGATTAAATGGACAAATTTAATCGATTAAGTCTATTGGCCTGAGGAATCCAGCGCTGAGAAATTGGATCTAATCGATTATTTTAGAAAAAATAATCGATTAAAGTAAAAAATAATGCGCAAACATGAAGGGCCCAAGCCTGTTTGCGATTGAAGCCTTTGGCTTCTAACTCGTTGTTTTGGACAACGGGAATATCAACGGACACTCCTCAAATTTGATTCAATGAATTTGAGTAGGAGAGAAAAAAGAGTCCAAAAAATTATTTTGTGTGTGAAACGATGTACAAGAAAAATATTTAAAGTATATTTTTCTTACCAAAAAAAAATTATGTAATCAAAAAAATGTTTATAAGAAGTTTTGACACACTTATTTTGAAACTGACTCAGTAAAATATTTTAGACAGAGGAAAAGTAATTTTTCAACTGACTCAAAAATTATAATTTTTTTATCCCTCAGAAATTAATTTGTTTTTGCAGAAGATATTGTCATCCTTACAAATATTCCTAGACTTAATAAAAAAATCTTCGGAGTCTTCACTTCACTTCAAAAAAAAATCTGCATAGGGGTGGTCGTCGATTTATATCGCCGTAAACTTCTTGATACCCTTCTTTGCATTTCTCGATTCGAAAATAAATTTTCGATCAGCTTGAAATGAATCATCCTGTTTGTCATTCATCAAAACAAAAAATATTCCAGAAGAAATAAAAAGGGGTTTGAACTCATGTCCAACAATTTCCCCCTTTTTGATAATGACAAATATAGTTGAGAAAGAGCAAAGTAAGAGTTCAGAAATTACTTCCTTTTAAGAATAATTCCCCCTGCAAGGTTAGAGAAGTGCAGTAAAAAATAATCATCGGAGTAATAAGCGGAAAAAAAATTTCTCAACTATCCTTCCTTCCCCCTTTTGGCATTATCAACCGATAACCTTCCCCCTTAAACCCTCGGGATATTGAAGGAAAGAAAATGGCAAGAGTTTTCTTTAAAAGAGAACTCTTAAAAAAATGCCACAAAGGGACAATATGTTCTAAATAAGAACAATATTGCCAAACCAACAATGATATTAATACACAAGCAGTTAATATCAACTAGCATCATCGAAAGGAAACATCATCATCCACCAAAAGAGTCATAACAAATAACAATGTATCATAATCAGTCAAGAGGAAAAGAAAAATAACAATCAAAGAGAGTTCGCCGGACGAGCTCCTCCGCCAAAACTGTGACGCGGGCCACGGTAGGAGCGAGATTGCTCAAGACAAGTCATCCTCTCGTTGAGCTGGCGAACGTCATCTCGGATGCATGTGAGAGTATCGAAGATCTTCTTCACCCAAGAAGGTTCCAGTGCTTCTTCTCTTGGACGAGTCCTCCGTTGACGAGTGACGCGCTCCGTGGCTCGACTTCCTCCGGCTTGAGATGACTCAGCTTGAGTTTCGTTTTGGCTCTCTTCTTCTTCGGCGACTATCAAGTCCAGATTTGGTGCAGCATCGCCCTCCTCTCGATACACGATCCAGAAAAACTTGGCTTCAGTGATGAAACACATCTTCTTGACCGGCACCTGAGTGTCCCGAGTAAAGTCTATTTTGCAATGAGCAGGAATATGCATAATGGGGATGGCAAAACGGAGATGGGAAAAACGAGTGCCATCGCTAAGTGCAACGATAAAGAAGTGAACCCAATCAAATTTGACATCGTTCAACAGGACGTGAAACAAACGAATATCGTCCTTGTTGACAACGCCATGGTTCGAATCATGGGGCAACAAAACATATGAGAAGATGTATTGTTGGACGCGTTGAATTAAAGTGAGATTAATGACACTCGGGTTGCTAGAATTTCTAAACTTGAGGTCACGATGATCTAACCCGAGTTGTCGCCAAATTGCTTCATCTTGGAATGTTTCATCCAAGTTTTCGGTAATTTCACCGCGACGAAGGCCAAACAAAGAAGTCAAACCGGCACCGTCAATGAAAACGGTTTTGCCGTCAACATAGGAAATGAGAGATGGCGAACCTCCCTTAGTGGTACGAAGATTTGCATAAAATTGACGTATAAGATTTGGACAAAAGAATTCATACGTCAAATGAATGAAACGAAGCAAACCTTGCTGAAGAAACAGAGACTTACTCGGGGCATAGGTCGCCGATTTGAAGAGGTCCTTGTTCACGATCTTAGGAGAGACAATCTCCTTCGTCAGGAAGGTGTTGTGGAACCTCTCGACTGAAGCCCCAGTGTGGAAGCCGAAACCCGTTTGTATGTGAATGTACTTGCTCCCTTCACGACGTCATGGCCTCTCATTCTCCTCTGCCGCGGTTTCTTGACCCGAGGAAGCGTTCTTGCACCTTGGCATTTTTCCTTTTTGAAATTGATGAAATTTAAAAAAATGGAAGAAATTTGAGAAGTTTATGATGAAGATTGAGAAAATTTGAGAAGGGAAGAAGCTAGGGTTTCTTTGATTCGAAAAAGGGAATGGCAAATAAGACGAAGATGGGGTGTGATATAAGGCAAAAAATCGACTATTAATCGATTAAATACAAGTATTTAATCGATTAGGGAACACAGCTGAGGCTAATCGATTAAGTTAAGCTTATTAATCGATTAGAAGTAAGCAGAACCAAAACGTCTCTTTTCAAGCTATTAATCGATTAAACAGAGATGGTTAATCGATTAAGATGGACAGATGAGTCTAATCGATTAATTGAACAAAATTAATCGATTTAAAAGTGAATCAGCGCTAAAGACGTTTTCGGAATTTAATCGATTAAAAGGAATCGAGTAATCGATTAAGAGGGACAGAGGCGACTAATCGATTTCTCTTCGAGGAGTAATCGATTAAATCTTGTTTGACAAAAAAAAATCATCAAGTCCAATTCGGTTAAATACCAAGGGAAGAGATACCTGCAAAAAAAATTTATCGCGCCTCCGACGCTCAAATTAGTATAGTCAATAAAAAGAATGGATTAGTTCATAGAGATATCCAAAATTCCAAGTTCGTTCCGAATGTGGAAGAAACTCTCCCTACTAAGGGGTTTCGTGAAAATGTCTGCCAATTGATGTTTCGTTTCAACAAACTCAATTGTGACATCTCCCTTTTGGACGTGATCTCGTATGAAGTGATGCCTAATTTCTATGTGCTTAGTCCTCGAGTGAAGAACGAGGTTCTTCGTTAGACTAATAGCGCTCATATTGTCACACCTAATAGGGATGTGATCAAGTATAAGGCCGAAATCCACTAGCTGTTGTTTTAGCCAAAGAATTTGGGCACAACAACTTCCCGCAGCGACATATTCCGCTTCGGTGGTGAAAAGTGCAACACTAACCTGCTTCTTACTAAACCACGAGATTAGCGAATGACCGAATAAGTGGCAACTACCGCTGGTACTTTTCCTATCGAGTTTGCAACCTGCAAAATCGGAGTCGGAATAGCCAACAAGATGACATGTTGAACCTTTGGGATACCAAAGACCTACATTCAACGTGCCCACGAGATATTGCATTATCCTTTTGATCGCAACCAAGTGCGACTCTTTAGGACATGATTGATACCTAGCGCATATACAAACGGAGTACATGATATCCGGTCTACTCGCGGTAAGATAAAGTAAAGAGCCGATCATACCTCGGTAGCGCTTGATGTCAACAACTTTACCTTTTTCGTCCTTGTCGAGATAGCAAGAGGTGCTCATTGGTGTGTCAATGGATTTGGATTCGGTAACATCGAACCCTTTAAGCAATTCCCTACAATATTTTGTTTGACACACGAATGTTCCTTCTTTGCATTGTCTAATTTGCAGCCCAAGGAAGAACTTTAATTCTCCCATAATTGACATTTCAAATTCACTTTGCATCATATCGGAAAAATCCCTGCACAAAGCCTCGTTAGTAGCACCGAATATGATATCATCTACGTAAACTTGAACCAAAAGGATGTCTTGGTTATCTTTCTTGATAAAAAGAGTAGTGTCGACTTGACTCCGTTTGAACTCATGGTCCAAAAGAAAGTTTCTTAACCGTTCATACCAAGCACGAGGTGCTTGTTTGAGACCGTAAAGCGCCTTTTTGAGTTTGAAGACATGTTCGCGAAACTCATAGTCTTCGAAACTGTTGTACCCAAACTTAGGATAGATAAACAGGAATAGATTCACTTCAAGGTTCAGAGCTAAGGAATAATCGATTAGCACAATTGATAAATCGATTAATAGGGATTAGCTCAACTGGAATGGTTCAGAGGAACCAGATAATCGATTGACACTACAAGACAATCGATTGTGTGATGTTGCAGATTTTGAAGAAGAATCAAAAGGCTTCAATAGTCGATTATCAAACAATGATAATCGATTATTAGGGAGTAGCTCAACTGGAAACGTTCAGAGGAACCAGTTAGTCGATTGACACTACAAGATAATCGATTGTGTGATGTTGCAGATTTTTGAAGAGGAATCAGAAGGCTTCAATAGTCGATTATCAAGCAATGATAATCGATTATTTATGGGTTCAGGATCAGAAATAGAAGAAAAGAAGGGAAATGTTTTGTGGTTTTTGTATAAAGGATAAACCAAATAATATGTAAGAGATAAACACACTCTTTATATATATTTG